CTGAAAGAATGGATGGAAAACCTACAAAACACCTGGCCAATAGTCAGAAAATCACTAGATGAAGCTAGGCGGGCATACAAAGCACAAGCCGATAAAAAAAGGGTTGAGCCTACACCATTCATTATAGGAGAAATGGTGTACTTATCTACAAAATACCTAAAGTCCCTACAGCCCTGTAAAAAACTTGGACCAAAATATATAGGACCTTTTCCAATTAAAAGGATCATAAATCCAGTAACAGTAGAATTAGAATTACCCAAAAACCTCAGGCAAATACACCCAATTTTTCATTGCAGCTTGCTGAAAAGAGAGCATCAGTCACCTCTACGGCCAAAAATCCCCCCCCCACCACCTCCAATCATGGTGGAGGGTGAACAACACTTCGAAATAAAGGAAGTCCTTGACTCTAGGAGATATCATGGAGCAACTCAGTACCTAGTTGCCTGGAAACACCTCCCTGCCTCACAAAACGAGTGGGTCCATAAACGTCATGTCAGAGCCCCGAAACTATTGAAGAAGTTTCACACAGAGTATCCCAACAAGCCTAACTAACTTTTATACCTGTTTTGTTTTCTTGCAGGTGGATCTCTCTTATTGTTAAGAGGGGCCGGATGTCAGAATCCAATTATATTTCATCTTTAATTATCAAATATAGAAACTCCCAATTCTGCCTTCTCTGGATTCTGCCATCAGAGGGAGAGAAGGGGGAGAACAAAGGGGCTTTATGGCCCTCACTTCCTTCAGTACACTTCAAAGAGCTGAATGCTGAATGTGTATTTATTGTAACATCAAAGCGTTAGCACTAGAGGACCTTATCATAACAAAGCAGGGTATTTGCCTTTCATGTAGTTACCTGAAGTCTCCATCCAGACGGAAGAAAGAAGAAAGGGGGTGGAATTGTGATACTTGAAACTATCACTGGAAGGGGGGTTGATTGGGTGGGACTACTGGGGAACCCCTTAAAACCTTGAATGGGAGAGCTTGAACCCCAAGTCCTGTCTAGCATGCCTGCAACCATTTTCTCTTAATAAAGGATTCCTGTTGGAAGAATTATTCCAAGAGTTCTGTCTTCTTAAGATGCAAAGTGGGGTGGGTTCTTACAATGCCCTCACAATGAACTTGCCGTAGACAACAACATTCTGGATTATAAGAATATAAAGTGGAGTTATGTCAATTAATACTAACTAAATAGTGGGATTCTGGATTCCAGATCTGTATTCTAACAAGGTTATATTATCATGAGGTTACAGATAAGCAAGAGCTATATAGTGTTATGTGCAGCTACCAGATATGTATATTCGGTACCTGATTCCAGATAGGAAATACTTTTTTCAAAAAGAGCTATGCAAATAAATGTAGACCAGAAGTTAGAAACTTGGTTACCTGAAATGTTTTAGATTTTAATTCTCACTGGTCTTTTTTACCATGACTTAGTACAAAGAATTGTGGCATTTGTAATTTAGCCATGGTGGCACAATGGTTAGAATGCAGTATTGCAGGCTACCTCTGCCCACAGCTTGAAGTTCAATCCTGACTGGCTCAAAGTTGACTCAACTTTCCATCCTTCTGATGTCGGTAAAATGTGGGGGGCCATATGGTGACTGTAAACTGCTTAGAGATGGCTGTAAAACAGTATGAAGTGGTATATAAGTTTAAGTGCTATTGCTAGTGCTACTAAAGAAATCTAGTTACTTATCCCAATATTGATAATCTGATCAAGAGTGATCAGTTTTCTAATTCTGTGTGAAATAGCTCCGTATGTATTTATCTCATCACTGAAATTACCAGTTCATATAGAAATCATGAACTTTTATGACATAAAACTATACACATATTGTATATAAAAGTTTAGGCACCACTGTTGACATTAAATGTTTCAGTGGTACATTAGAACATTCAGTTTGACCAGGAATATTTAAACTTTTTCATCCAAATGTAATTTGACAAACATTTAGAGTAGAAAGTAGAACATTGACAGATAAAATGTAGAACACTTTAGTCCTACAGCGTCTCTTTGTGTCCCTATCTATTACTTGCTGAATTGTTAAAAGGTCTGTTTCATTTTTTTTTTAACCTTAGGAAAATGGAACTGAAGGACATGCTTAATGGGAAGAGAAGACTGCAGTTTTTTTTCATGAACTGATAATGGTTTTCTTATTGTAGAATTAATGAGGTTTTATTTCTATGTGAAATTCAGTTCTGAACCATTTGCATTTTAATTTTCCTTTCATTTAGCCCTTTGAAGGCATCTGAAATATTTTTTAGAGCAAAACTCTGTGCCTGCAGGATGCTGAGGTAATGGCTTTTAGAAATACATTGAAGCTAGAATCTTCAGATTTCTCCTTTAGTCTAAAAATACCATTTTAGATGGTCACAAAAAAGCTGCAACCAATGTATCTAGGGCTGATATTGGTGGAGACATTTGTGGGATGTTTTAGGGGCTAAGAGAGAAAGAAACATTCTTATCATATTTTAGATTGATTTTATTAGAGATATGCAACTTTCTACAATACCTGGTTTGCTCTCCCAGAAAATCACAAAATACAAAATAGAAATAGAATGACTGTGGCAAAAGAGCAATGGTGGTACCAACAATAATAGGCGCCGTAGGCGAACTCCCCAAACAGTTAGATTACTACTTGAAAACTATCAGCACTGACAAAATCACCATTGGTCAATTGCAAAAACAGCTTTTCTTGGAACAGCTTATATTCTGCGACAATACCTTTAACACTATTGAAGAATAGCATCTGCCTATCCCAGGTCTTTGGAAAGGACTCACGACGTTTTGACGAAGTCGCATTCGTCATCTTTAGGCTGGTGTTTTCAGCTTCGTGCTCCTCGAAGCACGAAGCTGAAAACACCAGCCTGATCATGACGAATGGGACTTCGTCGAAATGTCGCCAAGACACTTCCAATTTTACACGGGACAAAACCCAAATAACCAAAGACCTATATGTATGTATGTATGTATGTATGTATGTATGTATGTATAAATTGCTTGGCCATTCAGCACAAGTGTACTTCATGGACAGCCTGTCATGCATATTGGTTTACAAAGTCAGATATGAAATACTTCAGGCTAGCAAAACTTTCTGTAGTAATAGACATTTGTTTTCACTGCACAATTTCAGGAGCTGGATGTTTAGAAATCTGTTTCAAGATCCTATTAAAAGGAAGTTGTCTGTCAAACTAATTATGGGGGAAATGTGATATTAGGAGAAAGGGAAATGAAAGAATATCTGCATGTCTGAAACAGTTGAATCACTTTTCTTTTTAATTAAGTGGATGGATAGTGTAGATGAAATACCATGTTTCTCCGCTGGGTGTTTACTTCTAGGAAGCACTGCTGGTGTTATAATGGTATGCATATTATAACTGCCCTGGATGTTGCTTGTATATTCATCTCAGTTCATCCAGCACTAGTGTCCCTACTTTTTTCCCTATCTCATCCATCCATTCCTTTGGCATTTCTTGCTGCTCATGCATTGTCTGCTCAAAACTGATGGCTAGTCTCAAGGCTAGATTCTGTATAAGTTGCTGAGTTCTCTTGGGGTTTTCTGGAAAGCAGAACTATTCCATCCTTTAAAAATATACCGTAACTGCCTTAAGCCAAAAGAAAAGAAAGATGGATGCTGTTCCCCATTATCATAAAGGACAGAAAGGCAGATAGAAGAAAGTAATAATCATAATACAACATTATGTTTTATGGACAAAATATAATGATCTGCAGTGTTTGCCCAGCATAGAGAAGGAAAATATGGTGGGCGGGTGTATGGGCTTCTCTATGCTCATTCCCATAGATATGTGAACAGTTGAACAAATCAGAAGCTACTGCACCATTCTTCTTCCAAGAATGAAAAAATTCATTGGGGCAACATGTGTTCACTAAAAATAATTGTGCAGGCATGGCTGCATTTCATTACTTGTGAAATAATAAAAACCATAAATAAATCAGAGTAAATTATGCTTTTAAAAAGAGGAAAGGTAATATTTTAAATTAAATGTGCTTGACATAAGATTCTGTGTGTAGAAAACATTATAACTAACTGAAATAAGTCAGTCTGAGGGATTTGATAGTCCTGTGCTGGATTTTTTTTTTTTTATGATTTACAGGTTGTTGGTGCTGAAAGATAATGAAATGCAAAAGATTTGGAAATACAAAAGAAATGGAAAAGATTATTAAAAGAGGGCAATAAGTCACATTAATTGAGAAACACATTTGCAAAAATCTTTTCAAAGCATGAGGTGTGTTTTTAAAGCAAGGTGAAATCCAATGAACAAAATGCTGCAAGAAAGGAGAAGGTTAAGTAATTATCTGGAATAATTAACTTGCATGGAAAGAATTAAGTCATTTCTATGCTGGCAGCTGAAGTTGTCAGGTACTTACTAAGAATAAATGATTTTTATAGAGTGATTTTGAAAAATATACAAATGAAGAAAAGTATATGATCATTTTAATAAAAATAATTTATACATAAACCAACCAAGTTGAATTATTAACTGGATTTACACCAAGTATTCACTTGTAGTATGCAATGTTTAATTCTGATCAAAGTGGACTTCAAACCATGGTTTATGACTTTTTGCTCTATGAAACTTACTCAACAAACCATATTTAAACAATGTACTGAATCCAGCTAGCCCTTTCTGCCAATTAAATAACTTCTTCTGTACTTTTCATAGGATTAAAGAAGCATTCTTATGTTTTTTCTTTTATTTTAAAGTGGGAAGTAAATTACATGAATCAGAATTCTGCACTTCTGATTCAGTTTTTCTTTGGCAGCTTTGTGGTTTTTGAGGTGGTTTCAGTAATACATAGTTTTGTCATAATCCTTCAGGCATTCAAATACTTTACCTTTTTTTGCAAAAAACAACAACACCCCAACAACTCTAAGAGAGGGTTTGATTAATTAAAAGATTAATTATATTTCAAACTTTCACTGAAACAAGATGAACTTCAGGCATGTATTTGACACATCTTCACTTGATTTTTTAAGGAACTGATGACCAAGCTAATAACAGAAACTCCTGAACATCCAATTCCATTTCTCATTGACCATCTTCAGGCCAAACAAGGGAGCCATGGTCACATTCAGAGAACATTGTCTGGATCTGCTGCTCTCTGGGCAGAGAGTGAAGCTTCAGGTATGTAGAACAATAGTTATTCTTTGAGGAATTCTAAGTGAACACAATTTTGTGACCACTGTATATCAAAATTGTTATATTTTTATTAGATCTTATTTATCTTCCCAGAGGTTGTATGCCTAGAAATCATATATTTTATATATTCAAAGTTCTTATGTCTGTCCACATTTAATTCATTAAATTATCTATCCCAAAGTTTACCTGGGTTTATCTAGTACTCTTTATTTCAGTCTAATATCTTCACATTAACTCATCAGTTATTAAGGTGCAATGAAACCATACAATCTGGATGCCCCACAGGAGAAGTTGTCATATATTAATAGGTATACTTTTAAAAAATCCTCTTTGGATATTCCTCCTAATGTCCAGATGTAAATTTCCAGTGGCACTGGCCATGTGATGAACTAAAGACATAGATCAGTATTTTATTCTACGTACATGGAGATCTTTTTAACCTACGAACAGATATATAAATGCCAAGAGATTTTTTTTGTAAAGAAAAATTTAAACAAGTAGCAATTCATATGGTTATTTGGTTACATGGTTATGTCAAAAATAGTCTCTTTACTATACTTAAATATATTTTAATGATATTTTATTTTGGATTATGAAAATATCAAAAAGTATTACCATGCAAATGCAGTAGTACTACATGGTATATTTTTTCACAAATACCTATGAAAGGCATACAGAAATGAAAATAAAAAGAGGCTTCCAGTTTTGACATCGTGGCAGAAAGGATGCAGGAAGACGGGGTTCTGTCTTTTGCCCCACTGGGGGATCCTGGAAAGGGTAGAGGTGACAAGCAAGGAGGGCGGGGGGGGCAGCAGCACTCCTGTTTGATCTGAGGAAGCCCTCTAAACTGGTGGAGGAAAGACTGGCTACATTTGTATAGCCAGTCAAAAGCTGCTGACAATGAAAGACAATAAGCTGTTTATTACAGGGAAGCTGTTTAATGAATATCAGTGGGGTAGTTCTTTCAAAAATACTTTAACTAAATTGTTCCTCTTGTTCCAAATAATATACACAAAAATAAGGAAAAATTATTTGATGATCCAAATGCACTGACTTGGAAAGTTAGTTGGCAAAGGAAGAAAGCTAGAGTAAGACTGAAGAAAACAGAAGCTTTGACCTATTAGAGGGGATATTATATTATTAATTAGATGTTTGAATATGGTTAAGAGTAGATTGCTAGAAATAGAAATATAATTATAACTAGATAGATAAGATTTGTAATCAGAATATCATATCTTGGTATGAAAAGGAAAATAAGAAAATGCTAAGAAGTTTGAATAAGGGAAGCTTTTGGTTACCTAAATATAACTTGTTTCGAAATGATAAATGATTGGGATATTTTGAATTAAAATTGAAAAAAGCAAAAATAGTATATGGACTGAATAAATGGATATTGAGTGTGAATGCAGTTAAGATATGTTTTGGTTAGAAAAGATATTCTAAACTGATTATTGATACTATTAGAAAACTGCTATTCAACTGTATATTTATTAACAACAATAAGAATTGTATTTGCTTAGTGTGGAAAAATGTCTATTACCGGAAGAAGAGAGGATGTATTGGATGATGTAATATTGGATTTAGTTTGAAGAAGCTTATATATATCATGGAATTACTAATGGACTCAGTCATCACATTGTCTATTAAGCACGTGATTGTAAAAATAGAAAATTAATAAAATATTTATTAAAAAAAGAAATGAAAATAAAAAGATTCATAATTTTATAGAATGTAAACATTTGTTCATAGCAATGCTATGAATTATGTATACAGCTCTATATAATTGTTATGTTGCACATATGCTGAATAATTTTATTTGTGGAATTATGATTTCTTTATGTTTCAAAAAAAATAAGCAAATATATTTTTCCATTAGAACATAAGGGAGCCAGAAGGGATTTCAGAAATTATGATAAACCCTGGAAGACAAATGCAAAGAAACCTAAAAAATCAAAAAGTGACCTTGCAGTATCCAGCATTTCTCCTCCATCACCAGAATCTAAATCATGTAAGGAAGTATTAAATATAGTTTGTGATTTCTATACCATTAAATGTAGTTTGTGATTTCTATACTGATATTTTGATTTTCATGCTTCTGTGGGGATGTGTTTGAAAAAATTTAAATTTAGTTAATAAATGTATGCCTGCTCTGTCTTGTGATTTTCGGGGACCTGAATCGTGTAGAATAATAATACTATGCTATTGCTTGTGACAAAGTACAGCTCAATTATTATTGTCTGCCTAATCAATATGCAAACTGTAGGATTCATGTTATACATATTCATTTGGATATGTATGAGATAATGCATTTGTGTAGACATGTTGTACTTTTTCAAGTATCAAGTGCTCCAACTGAGGTCAGCCTCTACTTTCTCTTCAGAGAATATAGATACATTTGTTTGGCCTATAGTTAAATTAGAAGCAGAATATCTGTGTAGATTCTTGAAACCCTTGTGGTTTTGTCTAACTCCATTATGTACCTAATCTGATATTTTTACATATTGAAAGCTACATAGCAGAAGAATTTTTAGAAATAAAAAGACTTAACTGAAGTACATATAAAAATGTAAAAAGAAGAAAGTAGTTTATTACAATAAGAAACAAGAAAAGCCCTAAAATTCATTTTGATATCTAATATATTATGTTACTTACATTACAGCTGGTATAAAAGATAATGCTAATTCAAGAATTATAGCAGGAAAGTAAGCCAACTTCAGTGCTGGCTATTAATGCTGAATAATAAGATTCAGGAAAATTAAAAAAAAATATTAGTAATGAGTTTTCATAGATCAGCGGTTCTCAACCTGTGAGTCGCAACACCTTTGGGGGTTGAACAACCCTTTCACAGGGGTCACCTAAGACCATCGGAAAACACATATTTCCGATGGTCTTAGGAACCGAGATACCGCTTCTTTATCCATCTCCAGGCAGATAAAAACAACACAGAGAATGGTAAGACTTAAAGCATCAAAGGAACAACTCCCCACCTCTCAGGTAGAGCTAGCAAAAGCCAACGACTCAGCCCGCCTTCTCCCAGCTTTTTCACCAATCAGAAGCCGCGGCCCGAACATTGGTGTCCATGACGTATCTTCCCGGGGAATCTGTGAAGCCGGCAGAGCTGCTCCAGATCGCGCTTGCATGCAGTCGCTTGCACCTCTGTGGAAGAGGGGAGACAGGCTGGCGGGGAGTTGGGGGATAAGACAGGAGGAGGAGGAGGAGGAAGGAGGGAAGTGTTGTTAGCTGTGGAATCAGCACACCGGAGGGCTTTGCCATGGGGGTGGATTCCTTTTGTATTTTGATTCCCTCCCTTTTGGAGGGAGGAATGGACATTTTATGATCTGGGGAAAAATAAATCTGGTGTCTGTGAATAAAAGCACCGGCGATCATCTTTTCTTTCCGCCAGCGATTGTATTTTTTTTAATCTTAGCTTTTTTAAAAAAAAAAACGGGGGTTGGTCTCTGCCCTTGTGTGCGGGGTTGCAAGCACCTTAACTGAGTCTCCCCACCCCCATACGTGGGATTTTCCTTGGGATTGCTAGGAGCTGCATTTAAACTCAGAATCGCCCGGCTGCAAGCGAAGAGAAGGGAGTTGGCGTGGGCGAGAAAGCCAGCAAGCCAGCCAGCCAGCCTGCCAGCCCGAATGCAAGCTTCCCTTTGCCTTTTTTGTCGTGAATTGGGAGCAAGCCAACCTCGAGATTTTCCCTCCTCTCGCCTTTAAATGGGTTCCTTTTATTCTGCCTCCCGCCTGATCAGGATCCAAAGGTGAGACTCTGATTGGGGAAGTGTATACTCCACTGCCAGAAATTGTTAGGAAAAAGGAAATGCATTGAGAGAGGGACTTGTCAGAAAACATTTAGATGAGAATCAAGTACGCTCAGTGGAAGGTGAAAATGTTGGAAGGAGGGAATGAAATAGCTGGAATCTGGGACAGCTGTAAAGTCGTATCCTTCTGTTTTGGGAAACTTCCATGAAAAAGTAGTCACGTAACCCCTCGCTTCATCCACAAAATGTTACAGGGGTTCTGATTTTTTATTTATAACCCTTTTCCTTTCTTCCATTCTCTTGCTGCTTTTCCTTCAATTGGTCATGTGATCAAAATGTGGATGCTTGGCAACTGGCCTGTATTTATGACGGTTGCAGTGTCCCAGGGTCATGTGATTATTTTTAGCAATCTTTTGACAAGCAAAGTCAATGGGAAGCCAGATTCATTTAACAATTGTGTTCCTAACTTAATAACTGCAGTGATTCACTTAACAACTGCAGCAAGAAAGGTTGTAAAATGGGTGCAACTCATTTAACAACTGCCTTGCTTAGCAACAGAAATGTTGGGCTCAGTCGTGCTCGTTAGTTGAGGACTACCCGTAGTTGTGGAATTCCTTTTGTTGGATGGTTCTATCTTCTAGAGTCTACTCTAGAGTCTGATCCTGCATATCAGATATTTACATTATGATTCATAACAGTAGCAAAATTACAGTTATGAAGTAGCAACGAAAATAATTTTATGGTTGGGGGTCACCACAACATGAGGAACTGTATTAAAGGATCGCGGCATTAGGAAGATTGAGAACCACTGTCCTAGACATTCAGTAAAAAATACTGTAGTGATCATTGCAATTCTCAATGAGCTGGTGCTACTTTTGTTGAAGGCATTGTACTTTATGCAATTGAAACTTGAATTGGAATTAATTTAAAATTGTGAATTAATCTTTCAAAAGAAAAACAAAACTTTCCTGTTACTTTGCCAGTAAAAGATTTGCAGTTTCATAGTTATAGTTGAATGTGGGAGTAATTTAAAAACCCTCAAGTCGTGTGAAAGGAGTTTTTTATTCCTTCCACTTAAATTTGTGGATACTGTAGCATGAAAAATGTTGATAGTTTTTTCCCCCTACTTACGAATGTAAGCATTTGAGAGATTTAGGAGGAATAAAAAAAATATTTCTTGAACTATTGAACATTCTGTCATCAGAGGAGCTGGTGTAAATGCTTTAATAAATTCATGGAGAATCAGGCTGTCAGTAGCTATTTTAGTGTCTCTATAATCGCAGGCACATAATTTGAATACTAGCAGACATAAAGTATCAGTAGAAATGATCTATTGCTATCTTGTCCATATTTATGAGCTTCTCTAGATATGCTTGGTTATTATAAGTCACAACAACACTAGACTTGATGGACTCTTGTCTCATAAGTCTGGGTCTTATATTTATATTGTTATCTCAGTTTCTTGAAGGTAAGTGTTAAAGAAGGAAAGCTCTCTTCCATGGGTCCATATCACACGGTCACAGGAATTTTATTTTTGCCCAGTTGATGGAAAGGAAGAAGAAAGCCAAAGTAATTTCCAATTATAGAAGTGGGTTTTTATTAAAAAAAAGAATCTGCTATTGTCCCAGTAATCCTGCATTACTGCATATTTTAATGATGAAAACCCCTATGAACTGTTACATACAAAACTGAAATGAGGAAATCAGCAGTTAAGAAACATGTTACATGGACCTAGACAAAACATTACGGAATAAACACTAATTTTATTTATTTGTATGCTTACTTTAAAACATGTTTTTATTTTTTTAGTTAACAATTTCCAAACCGGCCAAAGAGGATTGAGCATGCTCAGTAGCTACAGAATGCTGTTGGGGAAAAAAAACCCAATAGTGAATTGGGGAAGGGAAGAATGGAATGGAAAATCTTGAAATGACATCTAATTGGCAAGAAGAGCATTGCAATATTTCACTTCAGAAAAAGCTCTTGTTTCTTAAAAAATGAACTCCTTTGCAGTATTTTTTCTCCCAGAATACTTTGCAAACAGAAGACATCCTGAAAATGTTTATTTAATTTTCATTATAACATAATTAGAAAGGTTGAGTTTTAATTATTTAAATTCAGCATGTTTGGAAATGATTGCATGCTTATAAAGATGTGAACATCAGTTTCTATAGAAACAAAACTACAGTCTTTAGTTTCAGTTTTAAGATATTGACCAAGCAACATGTAAGTGAGCACTGGGAAAATTGTTTAGCGTGGGAGCTTTATGTCTGCTTTTCCCCCCAGATTTTTATAACCTGAAATTGTGCTTTATTTTATTTAGTGCCACGATCAGTAGGACATCTGAAATGTGATTGGAAGTCAAAGTCAGAGCATCATGATTTTGATGAATTAAATCATATCCTTCAAGAAAGTAAGAAACTTGGCAAAGCTCTTGAAAATCTTTCTCAAAGTAAGTTGATCAACACGTGAGGCATGTACTGAAAAAGCGTATTCCTATGACATGATGATTAGAAATAACTTTAATGAAGGCAATACCTATTTGACAAGAGTTTCATTAAAATAATCTTAAAAATAGTACCAACAGCTTGTGATACACATAGTAACAGGATTAAGTCTGAACATTTCTCTGCACAGTTTAAAGCACATTAGATGACTCTCAAAAGATTGTTTGCATTTTTTAAATGGACATTTAAATGTTCATTTAAACGAACATTTTTAAGATTTATGAAAAACTTCCACTGTTCCACTGTTCCATCTGAGCCTTTCATCAGTCCTTTCCTGCTCTATTCACTTGTAAAGAATTTTATGTCTTTACGTAATTTCTTGAAAAAAGTAGCTGATTAAGATGACTTTTGAATGCCAGCTTGGTATATTGTAACTGAGTTCTAATATGCCAGCAAAATCTCTAGTTGTATTCTTTCTTATATTTGTTGTTCTGTTGGTTTTTGTGCCATTATAAAAATCAGTTTTTATGGCTGAAATTTGCTTTAATGCATCTTATGATAAACTAAATTTAATTTTATGTTATTTATTTATTTAATTTTATTTATTTATTTATTTAATTTTATTTATATGCCGCCCAATCCCAAAGGACTCAGGGCGGCGTACAAACTTAAAACAATCATCTAAGAATAAAACAATAAAATAATACAATCATACCGCAAGTCTGATCATATCCCGCCCCCCCCCCAGGGACATCAGCCCCAGGCCTGCCGGAACAGGACAGTTTTAAGAGCTTTCTTAAAGGCCGGCAGGGTGGGAGTTGTTCGAACCTCGGGGGGGAGTTGATTCCACCAGGTCAGAGCCACCACAGAAAAGGCCCTTCCCCGAGGGCCCGCCAGCCGACATCGTCTGGCCGACGGGACCTGAAGGAGGCCCAATCTATGGGACCTCACCGGTCTCTGGGAACTGTGCGGCAGTATGCGGTCCTGTAAGTAACCTGGCCCTATGCCATGAAGGGCTTTAAAGGTGATAACCAACACCTTGAATTGCGTCCGGAAACCCACAGGAAGCCAGTGCAGCTTGCGGAGGATAGGTGACATGTGGGCGTACCTTGGCGCGCCCACAATCGCTCTCGCGGCTGCATTCTGAACCAACTGCAGCCTCCGAACGCTCTTCAAGGGTAGCCCCATGTAGAACGCATTACAGTAATCCAGTCTTGAGGTGACAAGGGCATGAGTGACTGTGAGTAAAGCCTCTCAGTCCAGATAAGGCCGCAACTGGTACACCAGGCGAACCTGGGCAAAGGTCCCCCTGGCCACAGCCGATAGATGTTCCAAATTTAGCTGTGAGTCCAGGAGGACACCCAAGTTGCATGCCTGCACTGAGGGAGGTAAATTTGCCTCCCCCAGGACTAATGATGGACCATCCAGTTGACCTTTGGGAGGCAAGACACAGAGCCACTCAGTCTTGTCAGGGTTGAGTCTAAGCCTGTTCACCCCCATCCAGACTCTCACATCTTCCAGGCACCAGCACATCACGTCGACTGCTTCACTGAAAGGACACGGGGTGGAGATATATAATTGGGTATCATCCGCGTACTGATGATACTTCACCCCGTGTCGCCGAATGATCTCACCCAGCGGTTTCATGTAGATGTTAAAAAGGAGGGGGGACAGGACAGAGCCCTGAGGCACCCCATGATCAAGGTGCCTCGGGGTCGATCTCTGTCCGCCCGCCAACACCGACTGCGACCTGTCAGAGAGGTAGGAGGAGAACCACCGCAATACGGTGCCGTCCACCCCCACCTCTCTGAGACGACACAGAAGGATACCATGGTCGATGGTATTGAAAGCCGCTGAGAGGTCAACAAGCACCAGGATAGAGGAATGACCCCTATCCCGGGCTCGCCAGAGGTCATCGGTCAGTGCGACCAAAGCAGTCTCAGTGCTGTAGCCGGGCCTGAAACCAGATTGAAAAGGGTCCAGATAATTAGTTTCATCCAAGGATCGCAAGAGTTGGGACGCCACCACCTTCTCTACAACCTTCCCCACAAAGGGGAGGTTGGAGACGGGACGAAAGTTCTTCAAAACAGCTGGGTCCAGGGAAGGCTTCTTGAGGAGGGGCCTCACCACTGCTTCCTTTAAAGATTGTGGGAAAGACCCCTCCATCAAGGAGGCATTGATTATTGCCTGGAGCCAGCCTCATGTCACCTCCCTACTGGCAGAAACCAGCCAGGAGGGGCACGGGTCCAATAAATAGGTGGCGGCATTCATTGCCCTCACGGCATTGTCCACTTCATCAGGGGTCACAGGCTCAAACTCGCTCCAGATAACATGACTAAGACCAGCCCCCGGCAACTCAGCTGGCACTGCCCAGTCGGAGTCCAGGTCTCTCTGAATCTGAGCGATTTTGTCCGAAAGAAACTGAACAAACTCCTCAGCTCTCCCCTGCAAGGGTTCCTCCGCCTCCTCCACTTTAAGAAGGGAGCGGGTCACCCTAAACAAGGTGGCCGGGCGAGATTCTGCGGACGCAATAAGTGCGGAAAAGTGAACATGCTTTGCCGCCCTTATCGCCACTAAATAAGTTCTAAGATAGGCTCTTAATAGTGATCGGTCAGATTCAGAGTTACTGGTCCTCCAACGTTGTTCTAGACGTCTCTTGTGGCGCTTCATCTCCCGGAGCTCCTCAGTAAATGAAGGCGCCCTCCGGGGACCACCACCACAGAGGCGCAATTCGATCCAGGGCCCCGGACGCCGCCTCATTCCAGGCCGCAACCAGGGACCCGGACGAGTTGTGGACAAGGGAGTCAGGTATTTCCCCAAGCTCCTCCTGGAACCGATCTGGGTCCATTAGGCGCCTGGGGCGGAACCACCTAGTCGGCTCCCTCTCCCTGCGATGGGGGAGTGATGCTCTGAAGTCCAGCCTCAATAGGAAATGATCTGTCCATGACAAGGGCGAGATCTCTATTCCCCTTAATTCCAGATCATGTCTCCATTGCCCCGAGAGAAACACAAGGTCGAGTGTGTGACCACCCCTATGAGTCAGATCCTGGATTACCTGGGTCAGGTCCATGGTTGCCATGGAAGCCATGAACTCCTGCGCCGCCTCTGAGCGTTCGCCGAGTGATGGGAGGTTAAAATCCCCCCAGTACCATAAGTCTGGGGAACTCCACCGCCAACCCGGCTACTGACTCCAGCAACGCAGGCAGGGCTGTTGCAACGCAGCTGGGAGTCAGCAGCAAGCCCAACTGAACCCATGAACCCAGCTTCAATAGGAGGGACTCACACCCAACAACCTCCGGGCAGGAATCCCACGAGGACTCAAGGACTTCCGAGCGATGACTGCCAATTACTAAAGTGTAGTATCTTTTTTACTGCAATACTTCATTCAATTTTTATTTCTATTATGCATTGAATATGTTTCGTGTTTGTAAAATCCATATGTTTTGTTCAGGCTGACTGAGCAGTTTTAGGACAGAGATCAAGTTGCATGTGCCAAAAAATATTGTAGGTAATAAGCTTGTTGTCTCATTAGAGAAGTAATGGCAGAATAATATCCTTATTTAATACTGCCTATGTTCTTTGATCTTTTCCAGTTCACTATGCCAGCATAATGTTTTTTGCAATAAGGAATCAAAATAATACTATCTTTCAAATATCTTCAACTTTTCATATTAAGTTATTGCTCTACAATAGCAATTACATCTTCCATATGTTTTGATTGCCACAAGTGTACAATGTTAATACTTTTTCATATGAATGTGTACTTAGAGAACCATATTCCATAATAATATATAGAACCATAGGTTTGTATTAATTAGCATCACTAATGCTGTCCTTTTCCATATCCATCGCCAAAAGAGGGGGCAAATTTTATATAGCTTCTTATTTGGTTTTGCTAGAATCACATTTTTTTGGGGGGGGGAACAAATTTTATTGGTTTTTTAATTTTTAAGACAAAGTACTCAGGACACACCATCGGCCCTAAGGAGATAGCTGGAGATACGGGAGAAGCTGCTGCCCTCCCATATCTACCAGCAAGCCTCCTCTTCGGTGGTCGCCCCTCCAGGGCGATTTTCAACCCCCTAGGGGGTCTACCGGCAAAGGAAACTCCGGACGGCACGGAGACAAGTCTCCAGGCATGACTGGCATCGCTGAGTACCGGAACCGGAAGTCGCTAGAATCTCATTTGAGCCTTTATGATACAGAGATTCCTTTTTCATTCACTATAGGCATACAAATTATAAATAAATCAATAGCTCTGCTATTTTTTGTTCAGCGGTGCTTTGAGTATCAACACAAAGAAAAGGCAAGGGAAGAAGCGCACTAGAAACACCGAAATTGGTACATTGTTGCAATTGAGCTAACATTTGCACTCTCGTCCTTGTGCAAAAAGCTGGCATGTTTTTTAAATGCTTGAAGAAGACTTAAATTTTTATTGTCAGGCATAAAAGACACATGAAATTTCAATTAAATTGATTTATTGTTACTCATGTGTATGCACAGGAATCTATTGAACTAACAGTTAGCACTATTTTGGCTCTAGATAAAGGTCTGTGGGATTCAAGGAAGTTGGACCATTGTGGTCCATTTGTGACTATGTAAAGACTCTGAATTCTTCTTTTGACTCCTCCCAGGTTCTGGCACTCCTCCTACATTTCTTTTATAGATATCCTGTATGGTTGTATCCAAAGAAATTCTCTAAGAATATAATGCTGTTGATTTTTTTTTTTTTTGCTGAATTACAGTTTTTGGGATGTACACTAAATCATTCTTAAAATACTGGTAATCCATTTTACTTTCATAGACTGAAATTGAAAAGAGAAAATGATCCTAACTGTACCATTAAAACCAGAATGTTTAATTCAATAGATTTAAGAACATTCAGTCTTTAATAAGGCCATCTGCTGGCATTTCAGAAAAATACATCAACATCAACCTTTTGTTCTCAGTAAAATGAATACCATCTGAGGAAGGTGCATTTTGAAATATCATGACAGAAAAGAATCTAGTATAAGCCCCTTATGTCTTTTCTGCTATTGTGATAAAAATTATCTGAGTTACATTAAAGTCACCTGCATTTAGTTTAAAGTAAGTTCCTTGGGAATGAATCTCAAAAGGCTTGCAGAAGGAAAGCTTCTTGCATTTTAAGAGATACATTATGTGAATCTTGCAAATAAAGTTGAAGAAGCATAAAAATGGAAATTAACTGTTAGCAGAAAATTGTTCCAGTAAATACAGTTATCAAAGCAGGGGTGTACATTAACAGGAGAAGGTTTTAAAGGTAGGCACAGTTGTTAAGCATTCTTTATGGAACTTCGTAGCACTTATGGTCTCTTCTTCCTTTTTCTCTCTGGAAAAAATGGCTGTAATATATTTCAAAGAAGTGACATCTGAATAGGCTTTCTATTGCACTTCAGGGCATAATATCGTACAGATGCAGAGAATTTAATTGACTGTGTACTTTATTTCCTTACTGTATTAAAGCTATCATATCAGTTATCTGAGCTGTGGGTCAACGGAAATCCCACTCTGAACTCATGTTTTTCAAAATAAATATTTAATTTAAATTAAGTCAACATTTCTTTTAAATAAAAATAAACTAAACACAATTATAAGGGTCAATGTTTCATAGTATGATATATATATGATAAATATATGAGATAATATACAATATATTGAGTATATAGCCTCACCCAGTTCAATCCTAGGTAGTGGCAGATATTTCTCTCTTTGGGCACAATGAATAATTGTCTGCTGCAAACCCTGCATAGGTGTCAGGAAGGGTATCCTATTTTTAACATTCAGGTGACAATGCACAAAAAGCCCTATGTGCATACTATTGCAAGAATTTAAAGCTTTCTGTACACTTAGAAGTTGGAAGAAATATGGAATTGGCACATGTTGTCATAATATTATTTATTTTTTTAAAAAAAAATAAATTAAAAAATTATACAGATGCCCATTTCTCTCACAGTTTCTCCTATATACATTCAATGTATTTGTTCAATCATTGAGAATAAGGATAATAAAAAGCAGACTGATTTGGTGGATATCCCTGAGAGGGAAAACAAACTAGCATGTCTTTGGTAGCCAAAACCTAAAACTGGTCTATGAAACCAAAGTGCTTAATCCTAGAAATCAGGGTAAGAACACTGTGCAACCAAATAGACAAAGAGTGATTTGATAATTGAGATACAAGGAACAATAGATATCTTTTAAGGGACAATTAACAGAAATTTAAAGCTTAGGGGGAAGATCATATATGGAAATGACCAAAAATGGGTTACTGTGGTATGTTTATTCAGCTTTCTGAACTAAATAAAGTATGTAAAAGTTTATTTTACTTTCTACCTCTTGCAAGCGCCCACATCGTGAGTGATTGAAGACTTAGAAATGTACTCTAAATTAATCCCTCCAGGATTAAAAATTGATTAACAACCTGGAAGCAACGTGTTTTTGTACAATATATGTACTTTGTAAATGTATGTACTTTTTCATATTGAATTGGTCATAAGACACTAATGCCCAGTAACAAAATACATTCTTAAATAATAAAAATGGTAAATGGTTTTCAGGGGGGGATGTGTCTATTAAGTCACATTGTACACGAAGAATTTCTCTGAATAATTGAAGTGTCCCTCTCTTATTTGAGCCTTGCATGAAGTGTCATAAACTGTTCCTGGCAGTATCTCTTTTGCACATAAAGGCACTTTGCTTAGCTTTTTTCCAAGGGTTGCAAATCACCTCCTTTGAACAATCTGTAGTCCTATTGTCTATTCACTTATTAAAAAAAAAGAAATAGGATGGTAGAAAATCCTTTGGAGTGATAGAAGGAAGACATGAATCAAAATAGCTAAGTTGCTTTCTAATAAATCAGTATGTTATGACTAGTTGTGTTTAGTATGGCAGCCATCTCATAAATCGATAAGCAACCCATTGGAAGCCATTTTGTGAGAGTAACAGTTATATGCTTTAAAAATGCAAAATGTTGCAATGGACTCAGAATGTAGGATATTCCCACAAGGAGATAGAGGCATGTGGAAAAAATGTGAGAGTAATCAGGCATTATATGCCAGTCTGAAACCATAATCAGAAGGAATTTCATTGTTATATTTCAATTAGGCCTTCAGTAGGCATTAAATCACAAGTGATTATGTTTTATTTAGTTATTTTTATAATTAATTATAATCTTATTGTATTTATAGGCATTGCAATTTCCGATGAGCTCAATAAGGTAAGAATTATGTATAGCAAATTACATCAAACTATGTATCTCACAAAATAAGCATGAAAAAATAGTTTTGGGATAGTGTGGGACTACGTTCTTGCTGGAATTTACTCTAGGTAGATTACATTCTCAACTGAATGTGATACTATTTCATTCATTTCATGATAGCATTACAAATTTTGGGATCACCAGGTCTGAGAAGACTCATCAACATATAATCTTCTGAAAGTTGAAGGCCCATCCCATCTAGAAGCATATAAGAAATCTGTTGAAATTCAAAGTGCTACTATAAAATTTGCTGTCAGCAACATATAACAGTGATCACTCAGATAATGGTTGTGAAAAGCAATTTGACAGGATCATTGCGGATTGCACATGATAGAACATATAAAATACATAAAGAATGCTATGTGATGATAATCTTTCGTAAAATAATTGTGTCAGGTCATCTAGAACAGGGTCTGCAACCTTGACAACTTTAAGACTTGTAGACTTCAACTCCCAGAATTCCTCGGCCAGCTATGCTGAAGTCCACAAGTCTTAAAGTTGTCAAGGTTGCAGACCCCTAATCTAGAGAAGATCTCCTCAAGGCCCTGGCTCCTTGGTAAGTGGGACCTGGACCAGTGACAGGACCCACACTTGGGAGCAGCACACTTCTGCCCCTCTTATCACTGACATTTTGCAAGACCATAAAAACAATTTTATTCAGTCTAACTTTCAAAGCTTAATTGGATTTCAAACTGTTTCTTATTTTATTTTATGATTTGGAGAAGCTATTGCACTTTATGTTCAATATGGTTTTATGATGCTTTATTGTATGCAATGTTTTTATGTTTTTCTGTAGCAACCAGAGTCTAGTGATATATACATTAGTGGTGAGTAGTACAGTATTTGTGTCCACAGCAGACAAGAATGCTTCAGATCCAGTATGGGTATTCTCACTCTACCCTGCTCATTAAAGTAGTGGTGCACAATAGTGGTGTTCAGACAGGAAAATAAGTACAAGTTCAGGCACATCTTTAGTAAGGAGAAACTAATATCTTGAAGGAGAGTACACTCTTACTTGCTTTGGATCCAAATACTGTACAACACTTCAGAAGAAGGAAGGAAGGAAGGAAAGAAGGAAAATCAAGCAATATTTGCTTGATTTTTCTAAGGAAAATTTCACAATGTCACAATGAAAAACACAATCTTGGAACTTTAGGGATAAGATGTTTCTTTGAACTAGTCTAGAAATGCAGTTTTAATGTGTTGTAAGCCTAGGATGCTGATAAAGGTGCCAAAAAGGAGAAGAATATGATTAGCAGCAAAGTGGATAGGCTCAATTACATTGGACCACCCTGTTGAAAAACCTAAATGATCAGGTTGGGATAGATCTACTTAGAGTAAATCTATTTATGTAAATTATATGATTGCCAAGACCAACACCAACTTAATAAGACATAATCACAGAATAATTTTAGCTATCTAGAAATGCTGTTATCTTTTTCTTTAAGGTTGGTATTATATTGCAGTCCACCTGTTCTGGTGTCTTCCAAATTCCTTTATGTATGTTGTATCATTCTATAAAATATAATTATGTTTGAATTGCTTGTGTTTATTCCTTTGTTTTTCCATACTGTTGCAAATAAGTAGTAATAAATAATTTTTTCTCTACTAGGAAACAGCAGCCTTTAACACTTCACTTCTTCGGCCTCGGGTAGTTGGAGAATGGATAGGACGTGAAGAAAATGATGCAGATCCACTGGCTGATGAAATGTTGCAGCCTCCAGTACCAAGAAGCAAAATTGAACAGTGGGACAGTGAAGATAGTAGCAGTCCTGGAGGAAGGTACATTTTCCAGCTACAGTAATAATTTGGAGATACAGTATGTCCATGTCATATGCAATTTCAACAGATTAATTTTATTAGATTTTGCTGTAAAAGAAATTTTTTGTCATGATGAATACTTTGTCTAAGATAGACAAAGAATGGGAACATATAAGACATTGGCATGGACCTTCTATTCATTTCTTGAGTATACTTTCATACATCTTTATAAGAACGTATGCAGATAATAGAAAATAGAAAAATAAGACTTGATTAAAGTCAGAAATTAGTGTGTTGTCTACATCATATCTGGGTCATCCTCATATCTCATAGGCCACCTGTGGCTTTCAGGTTTCCATTGTTCAGCTTTAGATACCTTAACTATTTATTTGTCAGTAGGATTAACATTGATAAGCTTAATGGTGGGAAAGAAGTTGCCCTTTCTTATGACAATAATTTATCAATCTTGATAGGAATGATGGGGGAATAGATGTAAAAGTAAACATCGGTCAAGTTCTCATCAGAATTACTATTATTTGATCCTATTTTAATTATCAGGAGAAAAAGAAAGAAAAGAAGTTTCTCTTCACACTAGTGAATAGGGTTTTGAAAGCCAGGATCATGTGTCTAATCTTGACACAGTTCCATTGCAAAGATTCTTCTGTCTCTGCTAGGATGAAAAGCATCCTCCCATTTATAACTTAGTTGGATATCCATTTGTATATTCATACGCATTTGTATGAACTATAAAACACTATTGCACTATATATTTCATTTTAAGATAATTATGTGCAAGTCCAGTAAACCAAACCTAGGTGAATGAGCTGAGTTTCAAAATAGGCATGAAAAAAATTAAAGGGTCAGGGAATCAGAAAGCAGGTGTCAAGGCATGGGCTGATCAAGAATGAGAATGAAAACAATAGTTACTATTTGAGAACAATTATATATCAAACAAGAAAATAGAAAACCATAGGATTTAAAAACAATATGGATATCTTCCTGACAGTTAGAACAATTAACCAGTGGAACAACCTGCCTCCAGAAGCAGTGAATGCTCCAACATTGGAAGTTTTTAAGAAGAGACTGGACAGCCATTTGTCTGAAATGGTATAGGGTTTCCTGCCTGAGCAGGGGGTTGGACTAGATGACCTCCAAAGTCCCTTCAAACTTTATTACTATTATTATTATTTAATTCAAGTGATTAAATACATATACAGATTATATCAAAACATGGTTGCCATAGGCAATTATTATATAAATTACATTTAATATTCATATTGCTTGCCATTTTCTTCTAAACACTTTCTTACTCATTTGAACATTTCTAAGTACAGTACTATTGTTTCTGAAAAGTATTAATTAATAAAATATTGTTATTGGCTTAAAGGACATGAGTGTTGATATACCCTGTACTATCTATGTACTTGCAGGTTTTTCTCTCTCTCTTTCCCTTTTTCTTTCTTCTTGTCTTTTTGTTTCTTGGGAAATGTTTTTGTTTCACATATAGCCCTCAATTATGTCCACTGCAGTGATCAAGACTTTATAACTGATAAATTCAGCTCAGAACTGATAAATGGTAAAGACAATTTTAGCCCTCCTACTTGAATTTCCTGTTTATCCAGAAGGCCTTGGATATAAATTTTTACTCAGCTGAATTCTACACAATTAGGGATGTTGGCCTAGCATGCTTCTGACTCATGTGAATATATGTTACCGTATTCAGCTGAACACAATTACATTTTTACTATCCATCTTATAAGTAAATAATGGTAGGCCAAAAGATGGGACCAACATTTTGTCTGCCATGATGATTTGATTGGGATCTCTGATGAAGACATCTTCCTATCCCCTAAACAGCTATCAGAGTTAACATTATCTTTCTTCTGAACTGAGCTTGTGTTTTCCAGTGATAGGCTTCTTCTTTGTGATGCCAGCTGTATACATAACACACTTCTGAGATAAGATAAGATAACCTTTATTGTCATTTTTTTAATGTGGGCACAATGGCAAACATCAAAAATGAAATTTAGTTGCCCGCTCTCAAAGTGAAACACATACATGACACACACCTAAACGTACTATGTATAGCATATGTATAGACTCACACTCCTACATATATATAGCAAATAAATATATGTATATAATGAAGTATACTCCATATGTGTTTTATCTTACATGGTCTAGAATGACTTATTTTACTCTAATTATTATTATAATGCTACATCTTTATCCTGTTTATTCTGAAATCAAAAGGACTTAATTATGTAATGATTTATTTATTTAATCAAATATATAGGTTGTCTTGCTCAAACAGCTGTTATTAATGAGACTAATAGATTAACTAACAATTATTTCTAGTTTAAAGATGAAACCGAAGACTAAAGGACTGAAACATCAGCAGCAACAACATAAAAAATTGTTGGCTGCTATGCTTTCACAAGATTCATTTGATTCTCTACCCAGCACAACCCCTTCAGTAACAGAAGAAGATATTGATAATGAAGATGATGCCATGGAACTGTTGGGTAATTACAAAACTTAATTCATTTAAAGTGTCCTTAGTTGATTATAACATTAGCATTTACAGCACTCTCTGAGTGGTTTACAGAGTCAGCATATTGCCCCCAACAATCTGGGTCCTCATTTTACCAACCTTGAAAGGATGGAAGTCTAAGTTAACCTTGAGCTGATCAAGATCGAACTGCTGGTGTGTGGGCAAGATAGCCCGAAATACTGCATTCTAACCACTGGGCCACCATGACACTTATCCTTATGAGACTCAGTTTGGAATCTGAAGTCAGGTTCCCAAGTGATACTTAGGTATTATATGCTTAGTTTAAAAAAATCTAGAGAGATAAAAATTGTTACTGTCAAGGGTTTTTTTTAAAGCATGTAAATTTTATACAAATTAACCTTCTCTCTCTCTCTCTCTCTCTATCTGTGTGTGTGTGTGTGTGTGTGTGTGAGAGAGAGAGAGAGAGAGAGAGAGAGAGAGAGAGAGAGAGAGAGAGAGAGAGTTGTTTGTATATATAATCAGTAGTTAGAGGTTGGAACTGGAGTTGTAGTGGCAGTTAATCCATTACGGGGCATCATTTCTTTGTCATTTGAAATTACAAGCAAGATTGATTGTGTTCTGAAATTATTCTTAAATTAGGCACAACATGAATTTAAAAATATACCCTGAAATTCTCATGAGTATTCCAGGTAATATCAAATGTTATTTTCTATCTCTGTCTCTTAATTCTTCAATAGTGATAAATGTCTAGTGCGTTGCATTCATTCACTGTCACCAGATTTTTTTCTTAGAACAATTTGATATGTAGGGGGATGTGTTTACTTATTTCTGTGAGAATAATGATTTAGAGTTATTGTTTTGAATCTCAGAGTCAAAAAAGAACTGTATGTTTTAATTTTCTAAAATATGAGGGACTATTTCACATTAATGCGTAAGCTTGAAAGGTGTACCTTAATGAAGAAAACTTAAAATGTCTATACGTCATTGTGGATTTCCCCCCTTTCTTTCATAATAAATGGTTAGGAAATTATCAATTTTTGCACAGTTTCATCATTTTTGTAGTTTCATGTAGGATTTACTAATATGCATATTTATTCAAATTATTTCTTTTCACACTGTTGGCCATTCTCCTACCCTTGCTGCTATTCAAAGAACACAGTCCTCTGGCAGCTTTTTAAAAGTCATACTCTATTAACTCCTAATTACTTAAATTAATGTGTATCTTTTCTCCTTTTCTTATGATTGTGTGTACTTTTTCATGAATTTAACTAACCTATATTATACAATTATTAAAGACATTAAATATCTTAATACAAATTTAAGATAATTCTCATAACAAAAGTGGAGAAAGCCGTAGCTGTCTTATTCCAAGTCAGATTTGTCATCCTAATTGTTGTCTAACTTTGGTACATTTACATTATCTTAGGTAATTTGTGAGCCAATAGGAACTACTAGATGATTCAGGAAATCATGGTTCTTTGCTCTGTTTTCCTTATATTGTCTATCATGATAACATGATTACAAAAATTCTCATTTCAGAAACCCTTTACTGTAGCCCCTGATGCCCCTCCAAACTGCCAATGTTCTACAGCATGGTTTTTCTAGCCTCACCTGTATTTAAATATTTATTTATTTCTCGGGGTGTAGATGCTTAAAACAACAGATTTATGAGCAGCTTGTTAACTATACTGTACTCTCCCAACCACACAATTTCTTACTCCATTATATGCAGAAGGAATATTTAAAATAATTTTTAATAATATAGAACTGCTGATTCAATTAGTTGTATACTAACTAATAAGTAGATATTATTATGAAAAATGCTACTAGCAAGAGAGCATTGAGCTGAAATATTGCTGACATCAGTTCCATTTTCTTTCCATTCTTTATTGGTAGACCAAGATTTGGTTGCATCCAATAAGCTGAAAATAGAGTTATGTGTCTGGGTTTTCACAAAGCAGGCAGTAAAACATGGCAATAACAGAATTTAGTCTACTACAAATCTCTGTTTTAATTTTATGATATCTAGACTGCTGCTAAGATTTCGCATAAATTTTAGAACTTTCGTTAAATTGCCTAAACATTGTCTTCATGATATATTAGTTTCAGTTCATCTTCTTCACTGTCCTTCAGATATTCTTCCAATGCTCTTTTTTTCTTCTTCAGCTGTCTGGTGTACTGACAAGTACATTCCAGTCATTGCATATCATGTCATTCATCCATCATGTCCTTCATCCATGCAGCAATGTTGACAGACTCTACTCACCAGACTGTCTGGTGTACTCACAAGTCTGTCAACACTGCTGCATAGATGAAGGACATGATATCTAATGACTGGAATTGTCCAGATGTTAATTGAGTTGATAATATGTCTGAGATTGGACTTTAAGATCCTTGCTATCATGATATATTCAGTTCTAACCTTCTTTTTGATTTTAGCCAGAAAGATGCCAGGGTATTTGTATCAATCATCTTCATCCAGACTCTTAATGTTATTTCCAAAGGGCAGCTTGATTCCTTCAGTTTTCACAAGATTTCCTATGTAATAATGAGGATTGCACATTTGCCTTGTCCAAACTCCATTGCAATATCTTGGCGGTATATACAGACAGTATTGAGCAAGGATTCTGTTTCAGATGGTGTTTTTCCTTATAGTTTCAGATTATTAACCAATTTTTAATACTTCCTTGCAGTATGTTATTAAACTGCAGGCAATGAGTGGGTGTAAACCAGTGATCTGTTTTATTATTATTTATATAATTTTCCCCGATTCATTTTTTGCCATTATAAGTTTTTTCTTATACTCAGCTTTCTCTAGTATGTGAAGTTGCTTGTATACTTGTCATAATATGTAATTTTTAAAATTGTGTTACAAAAAATACAGGTAGCCCAGAATTTTTGTTACTAAGCAAGAAAGTTGTTAAGTGAGTTGTGGCTTATTTTATGACCTTTTTGCCACAGTTTTTACGCGAATCAATGCAATTGTTAAGTAAATCATGCGGTTGTTAAGTGAATCTTGCTTTCCCCATTAACTTTGTTTGCCAAAAATGAGCTGGAAAAGTTGCAACTAGTGATCACATGACTCTGGGACAGTGCAACTATCATAAATACATGCCAATTGCCAACCGCCTGAGGACTGCTCACTACTGTTTGTACTGTGACAAAATAGACTTTGGTGGATCACATTTATTCATTCCCATTTGTTTTGAGTCCTGAGAAAATATTTCAGAAACATTGGTTTCAGGAAGGGATGCCTTGGTATGTGTTTAGAGGATTGCCAGCAGAATTAATACAACATATCTTTTCATGAAGGTGGGATAAAACTAATAAAATTATGTATTATGACACCTAAATTTTAGCAACATTGGTTCTGCTTTTCTTTTAAATGGTTTAAAACTCTCTGTACCAACCTTATTTTTAATAAGTTTGTAAATACATTCAGAGTCTGCTTATGGTTGTCATATGTTATGACTTTAATTAGTGATTTATAATTAGCTTTAGCAATTGCAGAATTTCAGGCATATTCCAAAGTTAGATTTACCATGACATATTTATTCTGCTCTTCTTTGCACAGTGTGGAAACACTTACCAAAGAGCAGAAACTATAATCCATGTAAAAATACAAAACTTTCTTTAATAGAATAAAAGGGGCAAGTAGTTAAAATATTGAACTAAAATAGGGAAGATCAGGCTTAATTTCAAATCCTCAGTAACCTATCAGGTACAGGTAGTCCTTGCTTAATGACTTACTGATTTACAACTATTTGAAGTTATGACGCCTTCTCTGTCAATCCCATCCCCCTCCCTCACTGTAATCACATAACCACATGTCAGACAGGGCTACTTTATGACCATGCTTTATATACATGTGGCTGCAATTTGGGATGTTTTTGGCTGTTTCTGCCATTTTTGGCTGGTTTCTGCAAGAAACACCCGTTCAAATCAGTGGATTTGCTTAACAACTGAGGTGTTCACTTAATGATTGCCATGAAGGCCAGAAAGTCATTTTCAGTCATATGGGTGCCTTGACTTACAACCATAATGACTTATGACTATAGTTCTGGGCTCAGTTATAGTCATAATTCAAGGACTACATGGATTTGTAATTATTTTTGAAATAACTGTATTTTAGAAGATTAATGTGAAAATAAAGTTTAGTGAGGAGAAAAAAGTAGTGGTGATAGAGGATTTGAATCAGTAGAACTGATAGTGATGTAAGATTTTAATTATCCAAACATATGTTGGAAGACAAACTCTGTCTAGAATAATTTTTCCCAAAATTCATAATTTATTAGTTAACATATTCTCCTTGGAGAGGATGAAGGAAGACACAACATTATCATTCATTCTTCATGCAGTCTGATTAGGAATAGTTAGTAGAGGGAGCAGGGGAAAATTAGTGGAGAATGAATATAAAAGCCTAATATTATTACTGAAGGGAAACTCCTATTGTAGCTCAGTCTTCTATGAAAAGTTGGATATTTATTCTAAGAAATTATTAAGGGGAAAGATTATTTATTTATTTATTTATGAGACTTATATACCGCTTTAAGTGCAAGCACTCTCTAAGCGGTGTACAGTAAGCAATGTATATATATTTACATTGCCCCCAACAATCTGGGTCCTCATTTTACCTACCCGGAAGGATGGAAGGCTGAGTCAACCCTGAGCTGGTGAGATTTGAACCGCTGACCTGCTGAACACAGTCAGCTAAAGTGGCCTGCAGTACTGCAAAATACTGGAATAAATCTGGAGATTGATGGTTACATTCTATAATCATGGAATATCTATTTACTATGAATAAGTTCACATCTCCAGAGTCAAATGAATTGCATTTAAGATAATGAAGAAATTTGGAAATAGTCTAATTCAGTGGTTCTCAATCTTTTTAATGCCGCGACCCCCAACCGGTCGTAAGTCAAGGACTACTCAACCGGTCGTAAGTTGAGGACTACTCAACTGGTGAAGCACCATTTGCAGAATGGGACTTTTTGCGGGCTCAGCAGGGCA